TGCTCCTCAAGGGGATCCTGACGGATTAGCTTTGCTAGAGCGCTCAGCTGGCAGCTAGAGAAGGGGATACAGCTGAAATGGTCGGTTGTGATTTATTTGGGGTATTATTGCAGCATCCAACAGCCCCAGCCATTAGGGATGTGAAAGGTTAACCAGCGAATTGCTTACCCATTTCCGGTTAACCAACAGGGGCTAGAACAAGGGGTTGCCCCCGTCCCGCAGGGCCCACCGCAGACAGGGCGCCTCACAGGCAGGGATGGCGCTCTGACGCAGCCCCTGCCTGCGGCCTCCCCATCCATGACCCCTTTAATCGGTTAATATAATGTTTAACAGGTTAACCAATTAAATGGGATTTTACATCCCTCCCAGTCATAGACCAAGACCCCACTGCGCTAGATGCTATATAAACACAGAAGAAAAAGACTTTCTCCGCCACAAAGTGCTTTGGGCCTGCACAGGGCCTGACCACGGCCGTGTATGATCCATCATTACACATGTGGCACTCAGGGTACATCTAGACTACAGGCTTTTTTCGACAGAGGCTGTGTCGACAGAGACTGTCCACAAAGTCTCTGCCGAAAAAGAGCATCTAGACTACAGCCAGTTCTGTCGACAAAGCAAGCCGCTTTTTCGACAGTCTAGATGCTCTTTTTTGAAAAAGCAGTGTGGGTGCAATAGGGACTTTTTTCGACATAACTCTGTCGAAAAAGGTGTTATTCCTCATAGAAGGAGGTTTACTGCTGTCGACAAAACGGCCACGTTCTACCTTTTGTCGACAAAACCCTGTAGTCTAGACACACCCTCAGATTGCTCAAGGGGAGAGGCGCATTGGCGGAGGTGCAAGAAAAAGCCATTGCTATCCATGGCTCGCCCTGGGAAAACCACTAGAAAATCATCCGTCCGAGCCTAACTCTGCTACATTGGGAGACTGGGAGGCCGTTTTTCAGGTGGCGTAAGTCTGATGTCGCTCCATGAAGTCAGCGGACCAAAGTGGATTTACGCCGGCTAAGCATCTGGGCCTCAGACTTCAACCCCGCTGCGCTCAATCAGCTGGCCCCTGAAACCTGAAGTGCCCAACCCGGCAGCAGGTCTTGTAAAGTCACACGCATCAGCGCTCGATCTGCACGTCAGTCCTGTGCCTCCTGCCTGTGGCGTTTCCTAACCGTCCATGTTAAGTAACCAAATTGCCTGTCTCCTGCAATCACAGTCTGCGGTGCATTCTACCTGCCGGAGCGGGCACTGGCACGGAGTGCACTGGATTACGGAAGCTGCCCTGGCAATCAGATTCTGCGCTTGTTACTCCATCTCCTGGAAGCTGCTCCTTGCTTAACAGGGAGGCCCCTCCGGATTAGGGCAGTCGGTTTGTACAGGGGTCCAGAGCACACGAAAGGAACAGAATAAAACTAGAGGGGACAGGGAACCCTCTGACTCACGCCGAGTTCAAACCATCCACCCGGCCATCCGCCCCTGTGCAGCGGAGATGAAAAAAGCAGGGCTGAGTGTCTGTCCCAAGGGGAGGGAGAGAACTCACAGCTTGTGTGACTCTCCCATTCGCCCCCTCCCTCCCCCCATCCTAGACACACTGTGCAAAAAAACTCACAACACAACGAGCCTGATTCTTCACCGTCCTGCAGCGGAGCTGACAGCCTGGCCAGTTCCTTGGGCAAAGGGGCGGGGGGCTGCCCCGCGTCCCCAGAAGGGACAGGGCCTTGGGTAGATGGGGTGTGGACGGGGCTAGGAGAGCGCTCCCTGCAGTGTCTTAAAGGCACTCCAGGCCCTTTTCTATCACCAGGTGGTGCAGGGTGGTTGCCTCCTTTGTCTTCCCCCGTTGGCAGGCCTGCTGCCCCGACCCTCATGCGGTCATTTACACAGAGGCGAAAGCAAGCGGGGACGCTCTGGCGCGCAGCTCCTGCCAGAGCAGGCTGAGCTGCAGCAAAAAGAGCCAGCAGGGAGCTCTTTAAAGAGCTGGCAGGGACGTGGGTTGCAATAGGACATGGTAAGTTACGGTCTGGGTGTGAATTGCTGCCGGTGTAGAAAGGAAGCAGATTCAGGCTCCCCAGTGTAAATGGGCACCGGGCCGTTGTAGGATCCGGTTCGATTCAATCGTCAATGATTTAGATAGTAGCACAGAGCAGGGGTGGGTGGGAAAACTCCTGCCCCCGGCTTAATTTGGACCAGCCCACAGCACTGAGACTTGCCCAGGGCTGGAAGCCCTAAGTGTCGGTGTCCCCCCTGTGGTGCTTGAACTGGGAACACCAGCTCTCCAGTCTTGGCTCCCTGTGGCCCTTCGGCGCAGGGATGATGAGGGAGGGAATAGGGAAGGGCCAGGGCTGTGAACGCTGCCTTGCTCCCGCACCTCTCATTGGCCGAGAATTGTGCGTGGCCCACGACTTATTTTTGTTGTGGATCAGTGGCCCCCAATAGAAAAAAGGTTCCCCAGCCCTGGAAGGGAGAGCACATTTATAACACCAAGCTGGGAGAGGTTGCAAGTGCTTTGGTAGACAGGATTAAAATTCAAATATAGAACATAAGAACGGCCATGCTGGGTCTGGCCAAAGGTCCATATAGCCTCGGTCCTGTCTTCCGACAGTGGCCAATGCCAGGTGCCCCAGAAGGAATGAACAGAACAGATAGTCATCAAGTGATCCATCCTCTGTCACCCATTTCCAGCCTCTGACAAACAGAGGCTAGGGACAACATCCCTGCCCATCCTGGCTAATAAGTATTGATGGACCTAACCTCCATGAATGCATCTAGTTCTTTTTGGAACTCTGTTAAAGTCCTGGTCTTTACAACATCCTCTGGCAAGGAGTTCCACAGGTTGACTGTGCACTGAGTAAGAAAAACTTCCTTGCATTTAAGAACATAACATAAGAACGGCCGTACTGGATCAGACCAAAGGTCCATCTAGCCCAGTAGCATGTCTGCCAACAGTGGCCAGCACCAGGTGCCCCAGAGAGGGTGGACCAAAGACAATGATCAGCGAATTGTCTCCTGCCATCCTTCTCCAGCCTCTGACAAACAAACAGAGGCCAGGGACACCACTTCTATCCCCTGGCTAATAGTCTTTTATGGACCTAACCTCCATGAAATTATCTAGCTTCTCTTTAAACTCTGTTATAGTCCTAGCCTTCACAGCCTGCTCTGGCAAGGAGTTCCACAGGTTGACTACACGCTGTGTGAAGAAGAACTTTCTTTTATTAGAAGAAGAACTGTCTTATATTTGTTTTAAACATGCTACCTATTCATTTCAGTTGGTGACCCCTAGTTCTTATGTGATGGGAATAAGTAAATAACTTTTCCTTATTCACTTTCTCCATACCTGTCACGATTTTATAAAAGATCTGGAGAAATGGTCTGCGGTAAATAGGATGAATTTCAATAAGGACAAAAGCAAAGTGCTCCACTTAAGATGGAACAATCAATTGCACACGTACAAAATGGGAAATGACAGGAGCACTGCAAAATGGGATCTGCGATCGTAGTGGACTGCAAGCTAAATATGAGTCAACCGCATGACACGGTCACAAAAAACAGCATGCTGGGATGTGTTCGCAGGAGTGTTGCAAGACAGACAACAGCTCTACTCCGTGCTGGGTAGGCCTCATCTAGGAGTATTCCATCCGGTTTTGGGTGCGGCCACCTTCCATGAAAGATGTGGACAAACTGGAAAAAGTCCAGAGAAGAGCAATATAAATGATGAAAGGTCTAGAAAACATGAGCTATGAGGGAAGACTGAAAGAATTGGGTTTGTTTAGGTTGGAAAAGAGAAGACTGAGAGGGGACATGAGAGCCTAAAAGGGTCTTACAAAGAAGAAGTGGAAAATTATTCTCCTTAACCTCTGAGGATAGGACAAGAGGCAATAGGCTTCAATTGAGGTTTAGGCAGGAGCTTAGGAAACGCTTCCTTACTGCCAGGGCGGTTACACACTGGAATCAATTGCCAAGGAAAGTTGCGGAATCTCCATCATTGCTTGTAACGATTTTAAAGAACAGTTAGACAAACACCTGTCAGGGATGAGCTAAACAACGCTGAGTCCTTCTGTGAATGCCGGGCTCTGGACTAGACAGCCTCTTGAGGTCCCTTCCAGACTTACAATTTTATGAATCAGGCCCTGGCCCTCCCATATTAGGGGACCACAGACACAGTTCTCAGTGAGCATCGTTTCGCAGGATCAAGCCCTTCATTAGACAAGCAGATGCTCTGAGCCAGTCCAAATGTGACTCGCTCATTTCATTCTGCTGGGATCACTCTGTAGAGGGGTTGGGAATGTCAAGCCCACCAGGTGCTCTCAGACACCCACACCGACCAGGCTAGAATACTACCCGCTGGTTGGAGACCCAGGGGACCATGTGCTGAGTTCCTTCCCAGCCCTTAGTCCAGGGCAGACTTCTCAACAGAAATGCACAGGAGTTTGCATGAGCAAGGGCCTCCAGCTCTACCATCTCCTGAATAGCAGCCCTCCTAAAACCGGCTGCTGCTACAACTTCCCTGCTGCTAGCTACAGAATGCTCCAGTGACTCATTAGGAACCAGGTCCGGCCTGCAAGTTGGGTCCTACTAGCCCCATTTTACAGACAGAGAAGCAGAGACTCAGCAAAGACGAAGGTCTGGCTTTCAAAGATGTGGAGCAAGTTCCACTGAAGTCGGCATCTCCTAAAACCACAAGTGCAGGAGGGAGGATGGGGCTCTCTGGCCCCGTCAGAGGGTCCAAGTAGATTTGCTTCTGCTCTCTTAGGCTCAAGCAACGATCAATCAGGCTGGTTGTCCCAGTTCAGCCCTTAGGCATGTGCTCCTACAGGAGCAAGTTGTGATTGCTAAATTCTGAGAGAGCAGAAGCAAAACAAAGATTTGATCAGGGACAACACCTCCCACCCTCTCTATAAAAACATGGAAAGCAGCCAGAAATTCCCCCATCCCATCCCTCCTCTGCCCCAAGGTCACACGAAGGGGCAAAAACCTCAGAGTGCCCCACACCCGCTTAGCAACCAACCACTCACCACACACCTGATCTGGAACCAGGAGTACGCAAACCGTCGGCAGCAGAGACCCCCCCGCAAACACAGCACAGCACCGAGCCACCGCAATGTTCGGTTCCGCGTTACGGACGCTTCGGGGTTCTCCAGAGCCTCGGTTCCCGCGGGGTGCGTAACTCTGAGCTTCTACCGGAACGGGACTCCTCGGGGTGCCACTGAGCACAAGGAAAGGGGCCAGGCTCAGGCATGTGCGCGGACAGGAACAAGTTGCGATTGTTTTTGCTGCTGCGCTCTTAGGCTCCAGCAAAGATTTGATGGTTCCGCGTTACGGACGCTTCGGGGTTCTCCAGAGCCTCGGTTCCCGCGGGGTGCGTAACTCTGAGCTTCTACCGGAACGGGACTCCTCGGGGTGCCACTGAGCACAAGGAAAGGGGCCAGGCTCAGGCATGTGCGCGGACAGGAACAAGTTGCGATTGTTTTTGCTGCTGCGCTCTTAGGCTCCAGCAAAGATTTGATCATTCCCCCGGACCAGCCTTCCTCTGGGTCACTCCCTGCTCACCCAGGGGTTAGTGATCCCAGGACAACCCCCCGTGCCCCTTCCAATGCACCGAACACATTGTACAGCCAGCTGGAAATCTGACATGGAAAAGACGCAGCAGGGAACCCACCTCGGCAAAGCGACCGGAGCGGAAGGTTTGATTTCAGGCGTGTTTAAAAGCAGCAGCAACTTCGGGGCTACCAGCCTGCGCGCCAGGACTCCCCTCCCTGAAACGCGCCGGGAAAGCGGGCTAGGAATCCCAGTGGCTAGTGATCCAAGGGGGGGCATGAGAAGCAGCCTAACCACACAGGGCTGGGTCAATCCACCCACAGACTGTCCAGGGGCTGAGCCACCCTGGGCTTTCCTGGGGGTTACCCGCTGCAGCCTGCGCGCTCCCGCGCTGCCCCCGCGGACTGGGGCTGGCCGTCCCTACCTTTAAGCCCGGCCAATCCAGACTCCTCGGTTGCGCCTCCGGCGGGGTCCCCGGGGAGAGAAACCTCTAGGCTCCCCCGCCATGCACTGTCGGG